CCTCACTGCTGTCAGTTTGTTTCTAGGCATCACGGCAAAGGGGAGCTGGAAGGAGGGTGGCAGGAGGGGAATGAGTTAGTTCTGGGGTGTTCCCAGGGCGCGTGTCCACGCGTGAGGGGCAGCATGGGGGAAGCTGGCCCGGCTGCACTGTAGTGGTGGCGGCAGTGACCCCTCTCCATGTGCATGTGATAGAAAATATCTGTGTGCCCAGCGATGCAAAGCTCGTCCATTGCTCTCTACATGTCAGACGTGCTGAGCTAACGTTACGCTAACGACCCCTCCCAGCACCCCGTAACGGCCGTTCACAGAGTAAAGGCCAAATTCAGAGCTGAGCACCCCTAGCTGTATCCACATGGAACTGACACCCCCTTTTGCCCGCGTAAAGGGATTTAGATGCACAAAGATGTAGCTCGGCACCTTTATAAATCTGCCCCGTTCTCCTTTGGCTCAAGATATTGATGCTCCTGCTTTAGCTCTCGCGTTCTCCTGTTCAGTCCCTGGTGATAATCTAGACGACAATCGTTACAGCGTGTTTGGCCCATGTAACATTTATATGTTTGCTTCCATGTAGATAGGCTGTAAGCAGCAGCTGCAGCTAAGAAATTATTTGGTCAGAGAGACTAAGTAGTGACCAGATTTACTCTGCTATATGTGTAGCTTGTAAACGTGTGATTCCCTATAACTAAAAATAAACATTTCTCCTAGATCTAACTCCCTGCACAGACAGTTAGACAGAACTGGTCAGTCTGCGTGCTAGCACCACCTACTTGTTCTAAATATTATTCAGGAAGTAGGTTTAAGTAAAGCCCCTTGTATTAAATTAATAACAGCAAAACCCTGTTTCAACTTGAACTTGAAATAATACATGAAAATGTACAGTTTTATGGGGAGTTACTTTTTTTAAGAAAAAACATTATTTAAAATAAATTTGAGGTTAATTTTGAAACTTGAGTGTCTATGTACTTGTTAATAGTCAGGCTTTAGATTTTCAAAAGACCTGCAGCCAATGAACAGGGAGCAGATTTGCGTGAAGGGGCCGTTCTCCAGCGCTGGGGGTTTAAGAGAGAATCGGAGGGTCCCACCCAGAGACCCGTTTGCCTCAGGAAGCCGAGCTCGTCTGGATTCCCACCATGGCCTGGGCCCCTCTGCTCCTCGCGCTGCTCACTTACTGCTCAGGTGAGGGAATTGTTTGCTTTAGTGACAAAAATATGAAGGACACTTGCAGGTGAGGAGGTTTGTCTGTGAGGATCCAGAGTCCTTGTGCTGAGTGTGTTTGTAATGTTGATTTCAGGGGTCAGTTCGCAGCCCGTGGTGACTCAGGAGCCCTCGATGTCGGTGACCCCAGGAGGGGCTGTCACTCTGTCCTGCAGCCTGAGCCCTGGAGCCATCACCACCGGCAGCTATCCAGCCTGGTTCCAGCAGAAACCAGGCTCTGCTCTTCGACAGCTTATATATGAAACTAATAAGAGACCCTCCGGGATCCCTGCCCGGTTCTCTGGGTCCATATCCGGTAACAACGCTGCCCTGACCATCACCGGTGTCCAGGCAGAGGATGAGGCTGACTATTACTGTGTTGTGTATACGGGTAGCAGTAGTAATACATATCACAGTGATCCAGCCAGATGGGGAACTGAGACAAAAACCTCCCCTGTCTTCTCCCCTGATCCCCTCCAGCCTGGGCTCTGCACTGGCTGCACAGTTTGGTTCCTGCCTGCAAGAGATGAGACACTGATTGCTCCTCCTTAGGAATTTCAGCCACCAGCCCTTGAAATCAGCAGGGGGCGCTGCTCCACCCCTCCCCATTCACTCCCTCTGAAGAAGATGTCAGCCGCTCTTATGCTCTCTGGTTGGTCTGTCTAGCATCCACAGCTTTT